CTGGCCCTTTCCCTGCGAACGCGCACCCCCCCTTAGGGGTCAGGGCTCTCTTGCCCGTAGCCCGATACCGATCATCCGGCCCGCTGGGTGCGCTTCTTAGCTCCCCGGCCCTGGATGTGAGGTTAATGACTGCACTCCAAGACCAAGTGCTCCAAGTGCTGCCAAACTCTCATCTCTCTGACTGGCCACGAAATCGCACAGTGACAGTCAGACATGCAACACGGGGTCCCAGGGAAGGCAAGCAAAAACCCTATCGCGCGCGCTAGACGCCGACTCGGAGGCCGCACCGGTCATGCGCGCAGCCGGAGAGAGAGGGAGGCGCTCAATCGCCGAACTCGGCGAGCGCCTCCAGCTTCGTACGCATCCTCCTTCTCCAGCAACTATGTATGTATGTAGGAAGGTGAAGAACAGTCAGGCTCGGACTGGGACACCAGCGCGGTAATGGGTGGATGGAGAGCAAGAGATTTTCAATACCAAGCGCAGCTCGACGCGGTCTACGCCAAGACGCGAGCGCTGGATGACGAGTTTGGACCGGCGCGCCGCGCCGCGATCACACGTTGCGAGGCGGATCTCGCGGCAGCGCGTGAGGCTCTCGGTGCCGTTGAACTGGAGGTGAATGCGCTGCCGCGCTCGGAGCGGGCGGCCGGGCTCGAGGAACTGAAGGCGCACAAGGCGAAGATTGCGGCACTCGCCGCCGACCTCAAGCGTGCGGTCGTGTCGCTTCCAAGGGACGAGCTGCTCGGGCGAGACGACCCGGAAGAGGCGGCCACGTTGCGTGGCGAGAGAGAGGAGGCGCACGCGCGGCTCCTCGCGACGCACGACCGCACGCGCGCGGGCACGAGGAAGCTGCGCGACGCAGCTCGTACTGTGGCGGAGACCGAGGAGATTGGCGCTGCCATCATGGGCGACTTGGCCGCACAACGGCAGACGCTGATGCACTCCTCGGGCGTATTGCGCGCCACAGCGGAGCGGCTCGACCGGTCGCGCAAACTGGTGGCCGCGATTGGCCGGCGCGCTTGGCAGAGCCGCATGATAATGCGGGTGATGATTGCGATGCTGGCAGTCCTCGTGCTGCTCCTCCTGTACTTCATGATGGCGACGTAGGGGGCTCGAGCGCAGCCGGCTCCCGGGTTTTATCTTTTGTTGTGTCTCTCTAAACAAGTAAAAGATCGTGAAGAATGGGGGCTAGCGGCGGCGTTTTCTTTTATTGTGTTTTTCCACTGTCTGTGTTTCTCGTTACACGTTAGCTATATGTGGCTATAGCCCCTAGTAAAGCCGTATAGCCCATGCTATAGCCCATAGCCCCAGGCCCACAGCCTAACTATCCGCGTGAAACTCCTCGCGTCGAGAGGGGATCTCGCGCGACCGGGTTTTGCGCAGCTGCTCTCGGTAGCGTACGAACTCTGATCTCTGTGATCTGTGATCTGTAAGGGTCCGCCCGCAGGCGCATTTTGATTTTTGGATACCGAGGCGGTGCCCGGTGCTTAGCGCAGGCAGAGCCCACAGGTCGCGACCTTAAGACAGCGTTGTAGATCCCTGGGCGAGGCCGAGGGGAGGGTGGTGGAGAGGGCGGTCCGTCGGCGCCAAACCACCTCCCCACCGAGGTGGGCAGGTTCCACGCGTTCCCGGACCGTCCCGTTGGGTGTACGAACTCTGTTCATTCGAGTCTATGTTCACAGCGAGAGCGACCGTGAGTCAGACGTACCTAAATCCAGGCACAGGGTTCGAAACAAACTTTTCCGGGGTATGGACTAACTATGGTATGGTACGATCAGCGGCCCAAAGGGGTGGGGGTATGGTCCTGACCGCCCAAGACTAGCCCTACCATACCCCCAAGCAGGTCTGCCAGCAGGCGGGGGGTATGGTCTTGAGCTGCAACCATACCGTGCCTCGCAAGAAGTTGGAACCCAGCACTTCAGGCCGCAGATCAGAAGGCCCTCCGACGGAGGCTCCAGCCCCCCCGTCGGACTGTGCTCCCCCCCCCCCCCCCACCAACTACCTACCTATT